TTATTTAAATAAAATGTAATTTTAGAATTACATTATATCAATTAACAATCAATTTATTAAATTACATGTAAAATGAACATTAAATATAAGGAGAAAAGGTAAACACAAAATGGAATGTGAGTGAGATCACTACTCAGGAAATAATTCGGGAAGATCTTAACAATATATTTAACTTCAATCTTTTAATAATCTACAATTCTCTCTTGATGATATAAATCTGAATAAGATTCTCGAGATGCGAAAAATGGATTACCTTCACCGGTTGATTCCATGCGACTCGCGGTGTTGACCGTGTCGCCGAAGAGGCAGTAACGGGGCATCTTGCTGCCGACGATACCGGCGACGACGGGCCCGGTGTGGGCCCCGCTCCTTATCTGAAGCCGTTCGCCAGGACGTTTCGGTACCTGGAAGACAGACGAGGCCGCGAGCAGATCCAACGCCATCGTCGCGATCTCGGATACGTGCTTATCACCTGAGCGAAATGAAATCGCAAACGAAAGAAAATATTAATCGGAAGAACGATGTTGTTCAAGACGACGCAAGCATTGAAGTAGATATATATGTAGAACGTAAAGTCACATATCATGAAATAAAATATTTGCCCATGTGTTTAAAAAAAAAATTTCTTTAATTGTTCGCGCAATGCGATCCATTTATCTTATCATTTTTTTTTTTTTTTTGATGAAAAAATATCGAGTATTTATATTGGCAAGGAATTTGATTTATATTTCAATATAAATTTTGGGCGCATAGGCTTGAATTTTCGAAAATTGGTGCAATTCTTTAGTCTTTCTGGGTGGAGTTCCGAATAGGTGAACCCTCCGATTTTTTTGAAACTACACTATTTTTTGTATTTTTGAACGCTGATTACGAATATGATAATGAAAATTTGCGACAAGGTCATTTTCAAGGTCAAAACTCAAATTTCTTTATTCTTAAAAAGTTATAAATCAGTGGATTGCGAATTTTTCTTTGCGAATATATCAAAATAGTTTTTATCCCTGCCCGCCTTTAGATTATAAGGCATAAGGGAACGATAGAGGGGGCAGAAACTTATATAAAATACTTATATAAAAATCACGCCAAATTTTTTCGCAGAGTTATAATTGTAATTTGCCAATCATATATCGTATCGGACTATACGGATTAAAGATTGAAAATTAAAATTTGATCGAACAAAAAAAAAAATAATTTTTGTCCTTTTTTTTAATTAATCAAATTCCAATCTTTAATCTTCGATCTTCAAAACGATATATTTCGATTGTTAATAGTTAACTCAAAGATTCAAGGAACACGGAATATTTATATTTACGTATTTCAATACGTTAAATATTTTGTGCCGACGAACTACGGCGCTTGTTTTTTGCGGCTGTTGTTTACATTTACACATACGCGGTTACCTTGTTGTCATTCGCGCGGTGAACCTCGAGCGGGCTGTCAGCAAACGTGACGCGCTTCCTAAGCATAAGCTTCCGAGACGCCGAAAGATATTACGAGATATCAAACGCGATTATTCCTCAAGTTAGTCTAATTAATGATTATCAATAGTAATCAATCAATTTTCACGATAACAACACGTATCGCGATGACGGCTATTTATCGAAATATATCTCGCGTGATACTTGCGTTTGAAGTAAAAATCGAAGCGATGGATGATGTGAGTGAGGAGTTTCAAATTGTCTAATTGCGATATTTGTATGGGCGATAATATTATATCTATAAATGATATAATTTATTTAGAGTTGAATGTATCTCGTGTTATATATCGTGTTATATCGTTTAATAATAACAAATATAACTTGCAGATTTTTTCTTCGCGCGTGTTTATTTACGTATTTATTCGATTGAAATTTATTATTAATATAATAATTATTTATTGCGCGAATAGATCATCAAAGCGACGAATATTTTCGGAGATATTTTATTGTGCAACATTTTAATTTGAATTCATATTTTTATTCATATTTATTTGCATATTTTCGGATATTACATTGTACGAAACTTTAATTTTAATTCATATATTTTTATTCATGTTTATATCTGCATGTAGTATATTAATACAAGATAGTAAAACTGTGTATCGATAAACGACAACGCTATTGGTTGGCAATAGTAATTTACTGCGGGGAGTTTGTGTTTTGTGACCGCGGTTTTCGCATCGTTCACCCATCTCAATACATAGCAAAGTTCATGAATTTCAAGAGTGCCATTCAAAGTCCGCGCAAACGTTATACATTCTCTGTTGATTTTTCTGCACGCACGACCATCATAACCATGTTTTCGGGAGTGAATATTTTTTCGAGTGAGTGCTATAAAGAAGCAGTAAGAGACAAACCAGAGAGGAGGAGGAGGAGGAGGAGGAGACCGAGGGAGCGAAACAACCATGAGGGTGAGCAATTTATAATTTCTTTGATTTATTATTTGTTATTTATGAATTTAATTGTCCATTGATCTGCGCTGTAGTGATCGGTATTTTACTTTATGTAATATATAATGCATGTAAAATGTATTTTAGATTTTTTACTTTATTTTGAAATACTTAAAATATTTATAATAATTAATAGAATAATGAGTATAATATTTATAATAATTAGTATTTTTGAGATATATATAAAAAACTTTAACATTGTGTTGAAGATTTATGCGTGATCATAAATTTTAATAAGCATCATCATTTAAATTATTATATTTTTGTCATATTTTATAAAAGCGTATTTTATATAAAATCTTTCTTTCCAATTTACGTAATTTGTTCATTTAAACAACGAGCAAAAAATGTAATTGCGCATATAATAAATATTTTTGAAATATTACGTAATTATTTTTTGAATATTGCTTGATAATTTGAATATATTTATATGTGTTATAAATCAACGTTGCGTTACAATTATAACTCTGCTGTTGAGCGTCGTATCGGGGAGAGTTAAATTATTTTTTACTTTAATTTCCGGCTAATTTTGGTATGGTTTTGAGTATTCAAAACTATTTCATTAGTCTTTCAAAATTAGTAGAAATGACGATTATGCGCGAATGACCTAAAATAAACCAAGTATTTTTAGTATTTTTATTTTTTTACTACATTTCATTAAATGTGGAGAGAGAGAGAGAGAGAGAGAGAGAGAGAGAGAGAGAGAGAAAGACAGAGAGAGAATTGGAAAATTTGTAAAACATATTTATAATATTTAAATAGAGATTAACAGTGAGAAATCAAAAATTCAAAAATTAAGAAAATTTATGTGTACGGAAAATTCGGGTAAAAGAAGAGTTGTGTATTTTTATGGTAATCAGCATGCTACAAGGCCGTAGACAGTAAGCGGAATTAGGAGGGGTTTCGTACTTTTACCATTTCTAACGGGCAAGCCGGAAGCGACCATGTAAGAATCCCCGATGGTCTCCACTTTGTATACGTCATAGCATTCGATGCGCGCATCAAACAATTTGTAGATCGAATTGAGGAACGTCACTATCTAAAAAAGAAAGAAAGAAAAATATACGATTGTCATCACATACGTTATATTGATTCTCAAATATAGATCATTAATTACATTTCGCTGTATATTTCGCGTAAAATGGAAAATTAAATTGAGTGATATATAAAATTCCAAATAGAATTAAATATCAAAATAATTCAAGCAAATATTCGAGCGATCATTGAACCAAATACGAGAGAATAATGATAAATAAATAAATAATAATAATAATAACGAGACAAAAACGTTGGATAAATGATTTAATATTTAATGCCACAGTGCAATTCGAAATTGTCTTGCGTACGTTTCGCGTGGGAATTCGCGTGGTATGCGCGCGATTTCATCATCGGGGCGGTATTGTGATGGAACTTTCGCGTAATTTAACAACTCGCTTCAGGATCGATCGGTCATTTTCGCGAGAACAGAATGAGACGCACCTCGAGGGGTGTATTTTCCGCGGCGATCTCGGTGAAGCCGACTATGTCGCTGAAGTAGACAGTCACTGCCTCGTAATACTCGGCCGGCACCTGAAAAAAATTTATAGGTCGTGAAAAATGAAAATGTCATAGAGAAAGAATAGTAGAAAAAGCTTATTTCCTCGTTATTTTGCATAATCGATTATTTACGATGCGAGAAAAATCAGAATCAATAACAAGTTTAAGTTAAAAGAGAATCAAATGATTCAAGAAAATCAAAGAATTCTCGATTCTGAAAAATTCATAAATCCCTTACGATGAGTCTAAAAAACGAAGTAACTTCAAGAAAAAAAAAAAAAAAAAAAATTTTTGAATTTGAGAAGATTAAATATAGATCTGATGAAGAGAGAGATATAAATAAATATTGATTAATATCTTAAAGATATCAAGTTTAAAAAATTTTAGATTTTTATAAGATTATTAGTTTGTGTATATATGATCTCGCGAGTTGAATATTGTCTTTTTTTCAGTTTTGAATAAATTCTGTGTGTGTGTGGTTTGAATGATTTGAAATATTTTTTTAAATTCACCTGTTGAGTCTGTTTGAGTTGTTGAGCAACGCTAGGTGGAAGCATTTGGAAGAGCAATGTGTCACTCTTTCTCTTCTCGCGTTTGAGCTCACGAGCTTTCTGTGCCAAATTTGCGGCATACATCTATAATTAATAATAGTTTTAAGATAATCAGATTAAAATAATCAGGCTAATAATAATTAGATTATATAATAATATACAAATGTCAAAAATATGAGAATATTTCCACGTTGCTATAAAATACGTATAATTACGCAGAGGAAAACTTAAAGAATTAAAATAAATGAAGATCACAGAATATATTCTCTTTATCTCAAAGAATTTTTTATTAAAATTTAATACTTTTATAAATTTTATAAGTTTCTGAAAATTCAAATCGTTTCTGCATGCAATTTTTAGGGTGTAAAAAAGAGCGCGTGTTTTTTTTCACAAACAGAAAATTAATGGATTAATATTGCTTATTAATTTTTCCCATAAATAGAATTAGCGCTGAAAACCTCGCGAATAGCAAGAAACGTTTTATTTTAGGAAATTTCTCTTATCGCAAACAGTCTTCGACTGATTTTCTATTAAGACGTAAGTCACGCCGTTTATTCATGGCCGACGTTGAGACTTCGAACTCAAGAGCACGGAATCGAATTATGGGATACAAACTAAGACATGGTCACGAAAGTTTCCCATAACCCTTCCCGCGAATTCAACATCCGATAACGGGCAAGTTAATATTGACAAGCAACGTCGGAAAGATTTGTACTACCGCGAATTGAAATTCAAGCAAACGATTAAAATAAAATTTTAAATTTGTTTTTTTTTTGCCAGAAATGCCGTTTGTTTCCTGTATATAGATAGATTTGTTCTTCATTCTCAATCATTTATAATTCGAAAATTATTTTTTCGATATTCTAATAAAATATATCTATTTCTAGTGACTGATATATTTCAATAAAAAAAATTTGAAATTTAATAAATTAATATCAAGTTTTCCGCCAAGAAAATCCGCGATGAAAATTAAAGTCTATATTAGACACCCGGTATACAAATTATTATGAGTGCTATGTATGAAAGAGAGTCACACGTGGCATGAAAGGGAATCAAATCGACGGCATTTGAATCGCAAACCTGAATGGTAGCGACGGCGTTGCGCATTAGTATGATGATGATGGGCGACACTACTAGCACCAGAACGACGATAGCGATACCCGCAACTTCCTTGTTGCTCGCGTCTTGTAATGTCGAATTGACATAATCCCTGCAGAAACACATATGTATATCGTACATTCTCGACGATTAATATATTTTATAGATAATATATAACACGTATAATATTTTTTTATTATCAGACAATAAATTGAATGACAAATCAATTCATTATTCGCAGATTAGGAAAATTGATATAATTAATAAATTTACAAAATTTTTTTTTCTAACATTTTACTTTGTGAAAGTTTGATACTTTTTATGTATGTGTAAAATCCAATTTAATAAATTTGACAGATTTTTATCATTCGCGGTTAACACTATATTTTGTCCATGTTTTTGAAGTGATACGATGAATTGCTCATCGAGTTTTTTCTAAGGAGAAATCTTTCTTTTGAAAATCTCTCGTCTCGCACTGTATGTGTCCGTTGTGTTTTACGCGAGTCTCAACAAAACGGGAAAACAATTCCATTATGAGGATACCTTATCATGTGACGCAATTCCCGCTGCAGCTTACGCAGCTCGTCGATGTAAGTGGCCATCGAATCGAAGTAAGCGATTGCGTCTTCCACGCTCGGCTCCCTCTTCTGATTCCGCAGGATTTCGTCTCGCCTTGAAAAGAGAATACACAACGTTTACGTATTTAATCCTATCTATCTTCGTGTGTTTTTTATTCTCATAATCTATCATCCGTCTGTTATGCGCGTAAAAGTGTCTTCATTCATGAAACACATTTCCCTTAAATTACCAAATTGGGAGAAAAGTGTCTATGTAATTTCTCAAAATACGGTGGAGAATATTCTGCGAATATTTTGATACATATTTAAAGTTATTTGTACTTTTTCCGTCTTTTAACTGCAATTGTATCTTCTAAAGTATCGAGAGCAATATAAAATATGAGTTTATAGAAATATAAATTTTTGATATTATAAAATACAATATGTTTTTGCTTGCGAAAGAGCATTCCCTTTCTGGGAATTTTAGCTGAAACGTCTAAATTGCTTCGAAATTTCAGAGTAAGCAATGTGTCTATTTAGAAATTTATAGAGAAATAGGAGATCCAATAAGATTCTTCTAACATTATTGAGCTTGATTCAACTAATATTCGATGTTATTTATAAAATAAAAGACATTAATTTGTCTAGAAACTATGACTCTCCGGTAAAATAGATGTTGAATACGCTTTAACTAAAACGCAGCGTACGTCTCGATAATAGAAGTTTTAATAATAGAGGCTACTTCCATTGCAGCTTGACTAACGCAACATTCACATACAATATTTTTTCAAAATTAACGTTTTATTGAAAAATTTACGATAGCGGAAAATAAAATATCAGGTCTACCGGAAAGTTCTGTCCGTTTTTGGAATAAAACAAAATACAAATTTTTATTACCGTCAATAAACTTTATTAAATAATGTAATTGCCATTATTCGGAGAAGTATTGTCAGCAACTGGATAATTTAAATACAGCAGTCCAAGAAAAGAGGCCGGCGATGTACAATAGGAAGAACATCATACTGCATCATGATAATGCCAGGCCACATGCTGCTTTGGATACTCGTCAAAAAATTGCAGAACTAGGCTGGAAAATTCTGTCGCATCCACCATATTCCCCGGACTTAGCACCCACCGACTATCACTTGTTTTTGTCCTTACAAAATTTTTTGAGGGGCAAAAAATTCAAAAATGAAGAAGATATCAAACAAGCACTGGTTCAATTTTTCGCATCAAAAGATAAAACATTTTTCGAAAAAGGGATATACAAATTGCCCTCACGCTGGCAAGAAATCATTAATAATAATGGCAATTACATTATTTAATAAAGTTTATTGACGGTAATAAAAATTTGTATTTTGTTTTATTCCAAAAACGGACAGAACTCTCCGGTAGACCTAATATTAAATGTTTGAAGAGTTGAAATCTATTTGATTAAGGGATCTATTTATTCGCGGGTCAGCACGCGGAAGAAAAACGCGAGAGACGGTTTTTTTACCTTGCCTTGATCTTGCCGTATTCGGGCATGGTGCGCGTGAGGTCGACGTAGAACATCTTCAGGGAGGGAACATATGTGAGAGCGGCGTTGAGAAGATCGCGTCCCAGTGCCTCGTGGCGAACGTAACTGACGTGGTTTTCCCCAGGGAGGACACCGCGGCCAAAATAATTGATACCCTCCACGGAGGCGATACCGAGGCTCTCGATGCTCCGCAGAAGATTTTTGAAAGCTATCAGATATCTGAAATGTTAGAAATTTCGCAGCAATGATGATCTTTTTCATCTCATTCTTCTCCGAGAAAGGGATAAAGAGAGTGCGAAAGAGAGGGAGAGATCTCGCCTCCCCTTTGCGGAAAGCTTTGACAACACTTACCTCCACACCCCGCTGTTGTCCGTCTCCTTGATCTGATTAGTCAGATGATCCAACATAGCTGCGTTCACGCTCGTGTACCACGCCATTACTTCGCTGATGCTGCTCGCCTCCGAGCTTATCTTCTGCCTGTGGAGGAACGTACGAACGAACTTTGCACTCAATTCGATTACCTTCCATGTGTCGGCGTGTTTATAGATACGATACGCGGTCGATACCGCATAGGGAAGTTATTCTGATGATTTTGTCGTGAATAATCGCGTAATGCGAATATAATTGCACCTTAACGTGACGAAATAATCTGATCGAGCAATCTCACATAGCCTGGACATAATGTTTAAGGTATTTGTTGACTAGTTCGATATTCATTTTTCTTTCAAAGGGAAATTCTTGCATAGAAATAATAAAAAAGAAACTAGAGTTTAGACAAAAAATTCGAACGAATCGAATGATCGAAAGATCTGTTCGAACCGTATACATATAAGGATCGTCTATAGATCATACATATACATATATCGATATACATATTTCCAGGTTTGAGCGATCGGAACAATTTAAGGTTTAGTTTAAATTGTTCCGATTTTGTTCGATGATTTGAGAAAATTTCGAGGACTATTTTTAACGAATAATACTTCTATTTAAATACAACTTTTAATTTGAATATTAATTCTTGCGTTCTGAAATGCTTCGGAAATTGTCTGCAGACAATTTTACCCTGTCCGAAGCGGGCATCTAAAAAAGAATCGCGAGAGATCCTTTGGATAGATGGAAGTCGCCTTGGAGGATTCCGCACGTGGCGATATCGCTCGATAATGACACCGGTAGCTAGACCTTCGCATCTGTTACGTGGGTTTGATCGACGCGTTGAACGTCGTCGTAGTATCGGGGCGAGATTTAACCATGGACAGACGCGACGAGATCAGAGAGAAAGAGGTAGAACGAAGGGAAAAGACTGAGAGGATAATACATGGAAAGGGAGAAAGACAGACAGAGAGAGAGAAGAGTCTAAAAATACTGTTTATTGCTCCAAATGGGCGCTCACGCGCTCATGTGTGACGACCGCTTCCATTGCTCATAAAGAGAACACGAGAGACAGAGAAGAGCCAACGATGAGGAGAATGAAAGTAATGGGAGGAGTGATACGGAGAAAGAGATAGATGAAGAGTTTTATTACGGGCGTTGTTGAGATTGACTGCTTTCGAATGGAAAGAGGAAAGATATACATAAGAATCATCGTGTTGTGACACAAGCGCGTGCACAAGTAATAATGTTTCAAGCGGCTGCTAGACGAATTCGATTATCCTATATTAAATTGTAAACAAACCCATTTTAATTTAATGAGAGAGAACGAAAGAATGAAAGAGATACACGGATATACATTTAGCAAGAAGGAGCAGGTTTGAAATGTTTTATTGCGTACTTTGGGATAATATTTCCTAAAAGCATTAAGCAGAAAGATAGGACTCACTCCTGAATGACAGTAATAAAAAGAACATAATCGGCATGACTTATATAAGTAATACTGTTTACGTTAGATGGTAGATATAGACAGGGAGAAGATATTAGGAAGAAAAATACTTATTCTATTCTAGAATTGAAATTCGCGAAAAAGCAACAATGACGCGTATATAAAAATTGATTAATTGATTGTCAAATAAGCAAATATATATATATATCTTTGAATCGGATTCAAGAGAGGAAGAAGAGATATAATATTGTCGAGTGTCTCGTCGAATATAGACGAATGATTGAAGTACATTTTAGAATTTGTAGATGAGAGTCTTTCCCCTAACAATCAAAAATAAAAACCCCACGAGCAGCATGAAAATGAAAAGCAAATGGGAGATGCTTGTGGAGAAAGTATAGGGGAGGAATCCGTTACATCTTTCCGCATCGATCGGACTCCCCGACGCGAGATTTTGCCTTTTTCCCCGCAGGCTTTTCGGGGAAGAAACAGATTGTTAGAGCGGCTTGTTATCGGTTGACACAAATGCGTCGCAATTGTATTCTCCGCGTGTGTTATAGTCTTGTGATATCCGTTGCGAGTACGACTTGTGCGGCCTCCATCTCTCTGCCTTATTTCCGCTCTTTCGTTCCTTCCCTCTTGTTCAATCGCCGGAGGGTTCTTTTCGATGCCGACCAAGATTCCTTCCGCAAAATAAACGCATCATTTCTATTTCTCTACGAGAGATTTCTCTGTGACATTTATTTGTTCATTCATATGCAAATGTTTATAATATATTGAGAATATAATTTCTATATGTATATATTAATTATTAATTTATATTCATTTAACTAAAAATATTGTACTTTAAATAGTTTAAATAATTTGCTTATTATTACATTGATTTTTTCCCTCTCTCTATTATGATATAAATAAGAATTAAATTATGAGAATTTTAAAATTCTTTCTTAAAATCGGATTGACGTTTTTAAGAACATAACAGATTAAAATCGTGAATTTATGTTCGATAGAAGTTACGTTTTAATAATGATAGCTTCGCTACGGGTATCAATTATTAAATTGATTAATTAATTAGTTTCAGTTGGAGAATTTCTCTACGAATTTATATCTGCGAATATCTGTTTGATTGTTCATGTTCATTTCGCCAAAATTATCCTCTCGAAAGAAAATGCGTAAAACGCATTAGTAGGTCAGGGAAATGCGTTAACTCCACTTAACGAAACTGACTCGTAATAGAAAGCGCTCTTAATTATTTGATTTGGAAAAACATGAAATCCACTCTCCGCTCTGCGTGACCTTTTACATTTTCGCAGATAGACCGCAATATACCGCTGAATAACGGAATATTCGTACTTTTTACTAACGTAAAAGGGAGATAAAAATACACGGTGTTTCGAGAGAGAAGTTATGTCGCGCATGAATATAACCGAGCCGAAATTTAAGTTTTCACTGTACAATTCTGGGATACAATCGGTAACGCCATTGTCGTCACATTGGTAGAAAGACAGACAGAGGGAGAGAGAGAGAGAGAGTGAGAATACCGTCGTACAAAATATTCTGTCTTGATGCTCGTCGGCCTTCCCTATATCGATACTTTATCGCCCTATCGATTTATTGGACGTACGTGCTCGGCAGTCGCCGTTTTCACTACGCGCGCGCCGGAATGAAAAACGTGCCTTTTATAAATATTGCCCCGAGCGCGGCACGTTGAAATCGGCGCGATTTCAGCGAGCCCGCTCGTAAAGTGGCAATAGCTCGGCTGGCAGTTACCTGATCTACCACAAACAAAAAAAGACGGAAGAAGATTATTATTCCATCACCTCGTTTGCGTAATGGATTAAAAAAATCCGTCGATTCTGTTACGCGATCGATGATAATCCGACGTGGATTTTCGTGTCTAGATTTAGGCAATTAAAGAGTTTCGTAATTCTCTTCTCTCGATACTTCGCGATTCGATTAGTCAGAGATTATAAACGTAACAGACGATAGAGAATATTTAAAATTTTTTTTTAAAGAGTCATTCGGAGAAGATATGCTGCAAGAATATTTAAAGAATAATAAAATATTTATTAGAATCTTTTTTCTTCTATTCCGGGAATATTCTAAGAGAAGCGAGAGAGAGTGATTCGGAAATTTTATTTCCAGATCGTTTCGCTAATATTCCGAGGAAATTCTCATTTTCAAAACACTGAATATATCCCGAGAACATCCGCGTTCATGTCACGTCGTCAGTTAAAAGGGTCGTCAGGGGTATTTGCATTCGATTTTACGAGATCCGCTCCGCTCGGGCGAGAAGAGAGAGAGAGAGAAAGAGAGAGAGAGAGAGAGATGAAGGGCTAAATATTTTTATCATCGATCGATGCGACAAGTCGAATGCGACACGCTGGGAGGGCTATTATAAAAGCATGTGCACACGCTGTTCGCCCGTCTCCGCGCGCGCGCCACGCCTTTTGACCCTCCGCTATATACATATATAATTAGAGGATAGGAAAAGAATTAATCGACAAATGTGTTATGGGTGGGCGTTTCCGATTAAATTTGCCTGTCGTTCGGCATCGTCGGCGCCAAAATCACGTTAATTAAATCGCTTGGGTGCTATCGCTCGGGTTAAAACGATAGTAAAAGTGCGCCGACCGGCGTGCGTGTGACAGAATTTTTTAATTTTACATTTGAAGATCACAATAAATCGACAAATTTTTAATTAAGAGACTTTTGTTCATTAATTGGCTTTTTGACGCGTGAAAAACAAAAGAGCTTTTCGTTCCTTAAAATCTTTGAAATATTTTCTCAATCGCTGTAATTTGTGACGCAATTTTAAATGGAAGTAAAAATTAAATTAAAAATTTATAATTTAAATAATTCTTAATTTGAGAAAACTTTTTGTGACAATTTTATTTTTGAAACAGAGAAAGAGAAGAGAAATTTAAATCGCATTTAGTGATTCAATGTACGTGTATGTACTTGATTTTTAGTTTTAAAGCGCAGCTTCAAAAATTCACAACCGTTTTCATTGTATTTACCGTCATTTAAATGTCATTAAAATGTTAAACGACAAACCATCGTTCGCCTTTTCCTCGTCGAAAAACTCCATCCTTTAAAACGAAAAGCTATTGCAACTCCAAAGGCGTCAAATCGCTCGTCAATGCCCGCGCACAAAAATTTCGCGAAGGGATCGCTAATTGGACTATCATACGAAAACGCGCGAGGTTGCATTCTAATTAAAGCCCCTAAGACCCTAATTAAAAATAATTAATCTTTTTCCTATCGCAATCTCTCGCTTCGTCAACGTTGTCTCGTTAAAAGTGTGCATGTGGGTTGTCATTTTATTAGAACATTTTTTACACTCCGTCTTCCTTTTTTAATGGAAAATAGAGGAAAAATACCTATGTATAATGTTGCTGCGTAAAATATTGAAGCAATCATATTTCGCCATTTTGTCGGAAGGAAAGTTGAGAGGCGCTACGTAATGTACATATACATGAAAAATTCCGTATCGTCGCGCGTAAAAATGTCGGTATGGTTTTCCTTTAAGGAAATTATAACCGTTCGCTTTTTCCCTTCCGCCTGTTTCTGCCTTATTCCCTTTGCGAGAAAATACGATCGCGACGACCTCGTCGTATCTTGCGACGCGTTATCTTACGTCCATATACCATTTGATACAGATACACCACCCTCTGCTGCTGGAGAGGATTTCTCCCGTGCGACACGCGTCTAACATTAACGATGAAATATCGCACCATCCTCCATTATAGAATCACACCGCGTACGTTGGAAATTCCGATACTTTTGTGTGTAAAAAAAGTAAAATAAAAAAAATTCAATGATGAACTTTCTCGACAATGAAAGCTGGTTTTGCGCAAAATACTGCAGTAGAATTTTAATAACGATAAAAATTGTTTATATATATATATATATATATATAATTTACTCGTCTATTTCGATCAATTTTTGTTAATTCTTGATATTGAAGATTTCTCGCAAATAACGAATTTCCGATTTCTTCTTGAGATATGTCTTTTTCGCTCAAACAATTTGTATATTGTATTTAAAAAAATATGTTAGATAGATTAAAGTGTAATAAAAATTAATCTATATTTGAAGAATTCAATTTGAAAGAACTAACACACACCATATTTTCTGAGAGATGTTTATCTTCTTCGGCTGTAGCGCGTTCCAGATATCGAGCATTCGATCAAATATTGGGAACATCTGTTCTCGGGATACGACTCGATGTCTGTGCGAATATTTACAGACGGGATACGAGCCCGCGGGAGAAAGAGCGGGAGACAGAGAGAGAGAGGAGAATTCCCTACTCGTACTCTGAATGGAAATTCAACAAGTGTCCGGACGAGGGCTCGAGGGAACGGCTCCGGGTTTCCGCCGTAACTTTCCATACCGGTGACGGGTGGTACAGTCGCGTGGGGCCGGAATAGGGGGTAAAGCTAACACGAGAATTAACCGCCGTTTATATGTACTAACGCTCCTCAAAGCGATACCACTCGCAGAGAGCCGCAATTTGTCTTAATAATTACCGTCTGTGAAGAGCGTGAAACGGATCTACATAGCGCGCGGGGTGCCTGTTAAGTTAATTAGGTAAAGATTGCTCGCGCCCACGAAAATACATAATTCCCGGGTCTGAGGAAATATAGCGACGACTACAACTGAAATTTTATTCTTGACGTTAAGTATTTGCATATTTACGAAAGATAGATCATCCCCTCTATAGTTGCTTTAATAACTCTATTTTTGCGATATTTAATTATCCTTAGATTTATAATATTCATTTAAATCGACGTTGGAGAATATTCCAAGAAGAGAGTTGAAGTTAAGAATCTCGAAAGACTGCAAGAGAATTTCAATTTTGACAAATATCTTCAGCTTCATTTTTCCTTGAATATTCTCATCGATGGACAAATGTTTACTCGTCTTTTCTATGCACGTTTCGCTTGATAATCATCCGAATGTCGTCCGAGTGAAATGGTGCGCGAGGATCTGCACAATCTAATGAGCTATGGCCAGAATTTTGCGGCCGCAATTTCACGGTTGTCGGCCGCCTTTGTGTCGGGCAATGCTCGAACGACTTTCGGGACCGATTAGATTTACCTGAAATCCTCTAGGCGTGCTTGGAAAGCCTCCTTGCTCACTACGTCGTACGTCTGCGTTTTGCTCTCATCCCTGGGGACGGACACCAGCGGCCACGTGCTCATGTTGTGGAGATCCTGGTCGGTTATGGCAAATCTCTGCGTCAGATTCGACCTGGTTTCCAGACAAAGAATGACGCGTATTAGGAAGAAAGATACATAATTTATTGTGGAATTATTAATAACAAAAGAAACTATGACAGGAAAAAATGACAGGAATGAATATTAATACTTACATTGACAATTAACGATGAAAGAAAATATAACAAAAGTATAATACAATAAATCTGAAATCAACTGTCAAAAAAAAAAAAGTTTTCATATATATCATATACATATATCCACGATTAAATTTGCAAACTTAACTCTGTTAATTAAACATTTTTTTTTATTATATGTTTTAAGATTTCTTTTCGACCCGTTTTTTATGTAACCGTGAATAAAAAATGCGAAAAGTTTAGTGTTTGTGAAGGAAAGTTTGTTAAAAAGTCAAGAAGTTTGGTTCAAAGAGATTCAAAGTAATACCACCGAACATTTTGCTTTTATTCGATTCGTAAAGCTTTCCAAGCTCTTTTAAATTGTTCGCTACTACTTCAATATTCCGCAAGACGTTTGTTTTGTAGAAACGTGTTGCAACTACGCGCCTTTCATCTCGATTGCGAGAATGGAGGAAGCCATCCGTTCTCATCACGCGAAATGCGACGGAGAGGCTTCTCTTCTCGATCGATAAAGAAACGAACTTCGTCGCTGAGGCACGTGGCCGGATCAAGAGGAATTTAAAATTGCTCTGGTAGAACGATAATTACACGGAGTGTATCAAAAAATACAGAAAAGAAGTAGGATCGAATAAGGATTAAATTGCGTTATTATAGAAACAAGCGCCTGATATTGATGGGGAGATCCAACTTTGTTATAAACAAAAGATGTTAAAATTGTTGATAATTTAAAAATGTGAGACATTTTTAAGTCTTATTAAAGAGAGCAAGAAAAGATCTAAACTTAAAAGTTCAAATTCCGAGATGTATATCCTGTAAGAAAAAATAATCAAAGGAACACGTACCTCAGAGTGTTACCGTTGGTATAGATGAAGAAGGCCACTTCGGATCTTTCCAACTGCATCCTGGTGACCATTTTGCCCAAGTCCGTGGCTATCGTTACCTGCAATTGTCATCGACCATTAGGAATACACACATGTCAGCACGAAATTTTCGGAAAAATGCAATGTGGTTTGAAAATTGATCGTCCACTTAATAAAGGACCGTTCTGGCAATCCTTCGCAAAGTCCTTTCTGTCTACGAAGAAGACGCTCGAATTGTCTTGTTGTCAAAATAATAGTACTAGGGCTGTTCTCGCGGAACTTCCGTTAGAAGAGGACTAATTGTAAGGCTCGAGTGGACAGCCTTGTAAGTGGTGGATGTGTTCGCGAAACGTATATTGAGTGGCTACTCCAAGTCTCGAATATCTTGAATGGCCGCTGCCACTCTTCCCGATCATTTTGATCAAACGAGGAAATATCTCAGTACGCGAGAGATGCTTTTCTCAACTTTTTTAACCTTTCCTTCATAGATTCGTAAATTATCAAATTTAGATATCGTCCTATTTCTTTGTGCCGCGGATATAAGAAATTCCATTTTCCGCAGCTTTTGATAATATAGATCTTAAATTTTACAAATTATTAAATCCACAGATATAGATAGAATCCGATTGTTAAACGTAGATTTTCTCAATCGTATAAATTTTGAGACGGATCTTAGGTCATAAATCTCTGCTGTCGGGATCTCTTACAACTTCTCGCCTGTTCGGTTTAACTGAAAATTTTCCTCGATGGCTAAGAAATCTCATCAATCTAAAAGCGCATTTGAGAGGCCGTCCTTGGTTCTGTTTCGATCCACCAGCTCGCGACAGCAATTAATATTGCATTAATGGTACCGATGATAAAATCGTTTTACGAGATTCTCGCTACGATGTCCGGAACAATTATTAGCACGGCTACAAATTGTATAGCGATCATAATTATATTTCACAATTGTAAATACAAGTACAAGTGCGTTGATGTTTCGTCGACGATCCTTTTCGTCTTCGAATAAGAACTTTTATCGTGAATCATTTTCGAGGATCTTGTATTCTAGCCTGAAAATATCTTCTCGTAAACTACAACAGAAAGTTTTCCACCAACTTTCCACGCTTTCCGCCAATAATGATCGTATACAACGGAATAATCCGAGACTTTGTTAGCGTGCCATGAACTTTTTAAGCCGTGTATTTTGGCGTCTGAAGCGAGTTATCGTCGTTGCTCTGATGAAATTCTGGCAAAGTTGCCGGAAGGATAAGGTCAGGATAAACGTGAACTCACAAGGGGAGGGCCAGACGTGCCCATCTCAGATTCAAGCGAATTTCTAATTCAATGTTTTCCCATTTAATACAGAATGTATGAATTCTCGACGAATTCTATTGTTATCTCAGGTTTCTAAGATTTTTAAAAAATTGATTCATCTCGATTACTTCCAGAAATTCTAATTATACAAATTTCTTCTTTATAGAATACTAATTTCTTGTTTCTATTGAGCCTCTTTAGCTCTAAATACTCTATTTAATAAAATTTTGATACTATAATTTTTCAGTACTATAAATTATTTTTCGCGCAACTTTCTGTGAATTCTAGAACTTTATATTTTTATTACACTTTGTTCTGTTCTCATGCAGAGCATATCCATCATAAAAATAATTTATGTACGTTAAATTTTAATTATTAACTTGATAACGTAATAAAGTTTAGTATTCCGAGAAATTAAGAAATCCAATGTGCATAGACATTTTTAAGATAGCGTAGAAAAGTTTTTAGAATTTACTTCGAGTTGAGAAAAAATTTCCAGAAGCTCTTTGCGGTGTGTTAAATTATATAGGGTGTGTCGAAGTGCAGAGTGCATCGACGTGTGCAAAACACTTGTCGGTCTATAAGTACGCGAGGACGATCGCAAACATACGACATGACGTACATGACATTCTTTCGACGCTCGTCAAACAAGTAACTAGAGATCGAAGACCGTGCAGCTAACATCCCACTGCAATGAATTTCGATTTGATCTACCCTTTATTCCTATGAGGGCTGCGTTTAATACCTTTGTAAATTGACGATTAGGTAGAGCGTGGAAATTTTCTTTTTACAACGACACGAGACAAAATGCGATGCAATAATAATTTCAGACGATAGTATGCGCATTAAAATTCACTTGATCGAAATTCACTTATTCTATAACGTGTTTCTAAAATTTTATATATATTTCTTAAATTATATATATA